GTGTGCGGGAGTGTGTGTGTGCGTGTGTGTGTGGTGTGTGTGTGTGCGTGTGTATGTGTGTGCGTGTGTGCATGTGTGTGAGTGTGTGTGCGTGCGTGTATGTGTGTACGTGTGTGTATGTGTGTGGTGTGTGTGTGCTGCGCCACGAGCCCGGCGTCCCGAGTTCGATTCCTGCTCACGGCCAACACCAGTGACGATTATCTGAACCGGTCCTGGGCCTCCCCTAGGTAGATTCAGCCTCAAATGAGTACCTGGTGCGATGTGTAAACATCGCCACTCGGGAGACAAAGGCGGCCGAGCGCGGTGCTGGCCACCCACCCCTCGTGTGCTGTGCCGGCACCCATAGGTGCTCGCTAACAGCACTTGTCCCAACAATATGTTAAGGCTATACGGGGGATATTTATCTTTGTACACATGTTACACGTGTGTGTGTGTACACACTTTCATTTTGACGCAGACAGCGTTAATAGCTTAGCGTGCCATGTGGTGCGTGTTTAGCAATCATCTGGCGCGTGCAGCATGGAACTAGCTAATTTGTTTTTCAAAGTAGAGTAAATTGGTGATCTCGGAAAGATGTAGCGTGGTGGATTGCGAGGAACTGCTGCTTGTGAAACCCTGCAATATCTATTTCATGTATAGCACTGGCTGGGGTGAAAGATGTCTTGCTTATGAAGTATGCGAATTGACGGCAGGAACTTCTTGACGGGAACACACTTTTTATTAAATCTTTACGTGTCAAAATACAACGTGTAATCGCCTTTCTTCCGACTTCACACTCCACTACTCTCGTGTAAACTCTAGGCCTCTGGCTACACACGATACCCTTCACTCGTGTAGACCCTATGCCTCTGGCTACACAATACACTCGACTCGTGTAGACCCTATGTCCCTGGCTACACACACTGCATTCGGCTCGTGTAGACCTTATGCCTCTGGCTACACACCCTACACTCGCCTCTGGGTTACACAGAGTCCCGGTCCCGTTAGGACAGCGGGACTAGGTACCGCAGGGCCCTAGGTCTTCATCCCCGTCTTCATTCTTCGCTGGTTACACACTGCCCTCACGCCTGTGTGCATCCCCTTTTATAGCCCCTGCTCACGAGAGACGGAGCTGATGCGTACGTCAACGTGAGCCTCGCTCCTTAATGAACCAATCACGACGCACTCTCTCTACGATCCGTTTTCCCCAGCGCGTGTTAACACTCCTCCACCAATCACACCGCGCTGCCACCCGATCACTCCCTCTCAGCACGTCACCGGCCCACAGCCAATCAGTACCCCGTAACCCACGACCCCGCGCTGACCCCTGATCCTCCACCGTCAGCGCGCGTCACCACCTACACAGCCAATCATTACGCGCTGGCATACGATCTCTAATCCCAGCGCGTATCACCTCTACACTTACATAAGAGGTGTGACATTCTTGTGTACTACAGCGCGATGTTGGCTATAGATGCTGTATTATTCATGAGTGCGAACTTCGTAGCATTGCCTTCTCGAGCTTTTACAACGAGAGAGAGAGCCGTGGAAAGCATTGGGAAACCTTCGATTTAAAGCTTTCGTGACTGCAGGGATTCATCTTCTTGGTTCTTTCGGTAAAGTCACGTAGAAGGGAAATAATAAAATAATAAAAATAAACATAATAAAATAATTCTCACGACGTTTCGGCCACAACGCTGTCTCCCCGACAGACCTGGTCTTCACCTGAGGACGGCTGCTTGAGTTGTGGCCGAAACGTCGTGAAAATTATTTTATTATGTTTAATTGTAATTTTTAGTATTTTATTATTTCCCTTCTATGTGACTACCGAAAGAACCAAGAAGAACATTGGGAAACCATCGTCAGATAAACCTCCGCACCACCCGGCTAAATAATGGATACGTAAAAGTGAATTAGGACACGTTGCAAGAAGGGACGGTGAACGAGAATAGTGAGGGGAGTTGCGGCCAAGGTGGAACGCGTCCGAGAGGACGTCTACCGAGAGAGAGCGATACAATTCGGCTGGTTAAGCAGGTGCCTAGGTAGATCGTTATGTCGCAGCACCAAGAGCGACAGTGGCACCTTGGGGAGGCGTTAATTCAGCAGTGGATTGACCATGGCTGATGATGGTGGTGGCTTGGGGTGGCCTTCAGCAGTCGATTGACCATGGCTGATGATGATGGTGGTGGGGAAAGAACTAAACGCATGTGGCCTTGCGGGGCTGTGCATAGGAGTGCATAATGTGAAGGTTTGTAAGTTGAGCCATTACATTGAGTACCATGTTGAGAGACATTTACAATGGTTGTCCTGTGGAGAATCTGACTCATGTCATGTAAATGTGGCAATTCCACAGCTGGATTTAGTTGCTCAGTGGAGAAGGGAGACAGAATTTTACTGGGTTTTCTGTTTAGGTAAAAAAACTATATTTGAAAAAAAAATTATTTGGCATTATATTTATGGCTTGTTTGGTTTGACATGTGTTTGATTTTCAACAATATAGGTATGTCTTGGCACATATGTTTTAAAATTAAAACAGTGTATGTAGTCTTAACAAATCTAACAGTACTGTGATGCCAAAAACTAAGTTATAAACAAATTATAGCATTAAAATTAATATATTTCAACAATAAAAAAATAATTCTAAATAAGATTAATACATCTGTGAAATAGCTCCCACTTATTTGTTATTCAACTAAAGAATTTGACAAACCAGATCGAGGACATACAAAAATGTAAAAACATGAATAAAAAAATTGGCCTTTCCCAATCTACCAATGGATGAAGGCTTCCCCACACCATTTTAGTTATGGTGATCTCTTGACTATTTTACTAAACTAAAAACTATTTTTTATTTTACCAGGTAAGGCCCACTGAGCTATATAGCTCTTTTTTAGAAAGCGACTTGGCCACAATGGACAGCTCAACGAAGTGGATTACTATCACGTGGACATTTATAGCTGCCATGTGGATGTAAAAACCAGGGGACCCAGAGAAAAATCCACGCGACTACAGGTCGAACTTGCAAACTCCAAATATACAGCAGGCATCAGGGTCGGAATTGAACCCACGACCTCCTGTATACCAGGCGAGGTAGTTAACATTTCGGTGAGGTAGTTAACATCTATCAGTCACCACTAAGCACAGCGTGTGTGTAAATTGAAGAAATAAAAATGCATAAACTCACGTGTATTTTTCAACGGCATTATCCGTACGCGTTTGCACGGCCTACATTTTAAACCCAGCAACAACAAATACCGTGCCACCATTCTCAAGATTGACTGTGAGGAATTGGGTTCATATCAAATAAAAAAAAAATCTGACTCTTGCCCATATGCTGACGAAGCCCTGGCTGTTGTCAGTGAAGTACAAATGGCTGCATTTAGAGGCAAATGAGCTTTTAATGTTTTCATCTTGACAGTATTAATTCATTTCTCCATTGGTTTCCGCACAAAAGGGCATTTCATTTCACATACTCATTTTCGAGGAGGCCAAAAGGCAGCGGGAATTGGATTTTGAGATGCGGGGATTTGTCACTGCTCACAGTGTGGCGAGCGGAGGCACGTAAAACGTTTTGTTATTTTTCGCGTTTCATCTCGTTAGCATTTTCACGCAGCCCGCGTTTTAAGCGCCTCTACTCATTACTCTGTTTGCTTGATTGCGAAATTGTCATTAGATCTTCAAATTTTGCCGCATTTGCGACTGATGTCTCGAAGCATGGCTGTGATATGCACTGTGCACTCATGTTTATACGTAGGTAAAAAATAATAAATAATAAATGAAAATAACTCAATTAAATCACGACGTTTCAGAGGCAACACAAGTCTTTGTCTTCAGGTGGGACCGTCACAGCTAAATTTACTATATCAAGACGGAGACTTGTGTTGCCTCCGAAACGTCGTGATTTAATTGAGTTATTTTCATTTATTATTATTTTATTTTATTATTATTTTTACCCACGTGACTTTACCGAAAAAACATAAGAGTATGAATCCTTGCAGTCACGAAAGCTTCAAATCTAGCACTCATGTTTAGTTTCCCAAAACCCACCATGCTTTAGACCCTGTGCTTTTATTATCGAAACTCTACGCTCACGACTTACCCAAAGTTAAAAGACTAAATAAAAACTTGCGGCACAGTGTTAATTACAAATCCTTCATTGTTCCTGCACTTTGAACTCGGTGACCTAAGTAAAATTTCCAGCCACATCTAATAGCATGAAAAATCACATCTGAACCAATCCCGGTGTGGGGAATTATGGTAAAACAACCACCATGAATCAACATAGCTACACATGAAATTATTATTCATTATTACGTATAGCTCGTCACGTGTGTTTTCCTCGCAGTAAGTGATCGAACACTGAAAGCACTATCACCCGGTCAATTCAACAGCAACCTTCATGGACTGTGGGAATCAACAACATAGAGACCGCGGTCTGCCATGAGAATGTGGAATTGTTAACCACTGGCTCGGGACAAGCGACAGGGAGGAGCACTGCCGCATTGCTTGGCTGTAGCAGGGAAACAGTGTCCTGGCCCTTATGTACGTGTGAAAAACGAATCAAAACAATCTCAAGCTGTTTTAATGTTGAATAATTATATTGGTTTTATTTTGTTTACTATGGAAGCTGAACTGGCAGGCCTCTTTTAATAAGGAGTGTTCTGCACTGTGATGTTTAACCATTTTTTTTTATTAATTAGCGTTTTACTTGTTTTTTTAATTAATACTTTACTTAACCCATTATAATTGCACTACGCCGACTCAACGTGTTGATTTCTTTGCCACGTGTACTTTTGCATGGATAGAAGTCTGACAATTATTGTTGTAGATAAGTACTTATAAGTTTTCTTAAACGTCTTATTTGAACACTATACATTTCCAGAGACTCTAATTTGGAAGGAAATATTTCCATACTTGACTTCCAACACTCTTCTGAAACATAACTTTAATTGTTCACTCAAATGTCCTTCACATTATGTTTCTCTCTCGTTTTTGCGTTCATTTCCACCCACTCATAACAGTGCTAAGCATTGGCCAAGGAGGATTCTGGGAAGGCAGTGTGAAAGGTCGAGTTGGCTGGTTTCCTGCAGACTGCGTGGAAGAAATCAAACTGAGGAACGACTCTGTACAAGGTAAGTGGCTCGCACGCAGAGACATTCCCTAATAATGCCAGGTCGGCTGACTGAGCTGGCACCACTGATATTGTGGGTGAGAATCTGAGCAACACCTGTTACAAAACCAGGTTCTCAGGTCGAAAGAGTGTCATGACCTCTGGTCATCATTTAATTCACAAAAATTCCATCATAGTAAATAAAAAAAATCGCTTCATTCAGCTTTTTACATTTGGATGAGAATATTCGTTTTGGTTTTGACACGTGACAAATACTCTTTACAGGGTGTGAAACACGTTTGCCTCTTGTGTGTACGACGTGTAATCAAGAGGCTTTGGTCGAAGTTTGTGATGTCGTCTTCTGGGTTCGTTGTCCAACACAAATAGGTGGAGTGGCTCGGCTGTGAGAATTCATAACGTGATTTCCTAATCTCACAACGTAATTCTGAAAGGTTATTGAAATGTTTTTTTTTAAATTATTTAATACTCTTGGGATTCGAAACCATTGTTATCGTGCTCGGCTATCATGGAGACGCTATGTTTCACAGACGTAGTCTGCGGTAAAGTTAAAGTGACGAATATGTGGTTACATTTTTTAGATTTTCCAAAAATAAACCATCTCGCTGGCACACAATAGCCTCCTCTTTTTTTCGTATGGCATCATGGGATCTTTAACGTCCGCTGTCAAGCGGATGGTGGGTAGTATTTTACGGCTAATGCACCTGCAGTTATAACGGATGATTTAAATACTGCGCTGTAAAGTGTCCAAACAAATGTAATCTGTTCAGTGCTTAACACGTAGGCATGAAAAAATGTCACGTCTGTTCACGTGACAACGTTATTTATTTGACTGTATCATCAGGTAGAGGAGGGTGCACGACACACATTGGCATTTTATTCGCGCGCAGGTTCTGACCCAACAAATCAATTATGAACGAATCAGTGTCATCGGTACAAAGCCACGCTTGTCAATACCATTTACCACCTTGCCGATGAGATCCAATAGCTCGTTTTTGGCCACCCTGCTCTTCCATGCCGTTTTTAATGCAACATGCCTGATAATGCACTCGCTTCGATTGAATACAATGAAAACGCGCGTGTGCGGTTCATCACCGCGATGCTGAGACGATCTGCCCCCAAGTCACTTGTCTCCGTGGTGCCTTCCTCCTGGAAGATGTGAAAGCACCCCGACAATAACTTGGACTGCTGATTTACCCAGTCTCGCGATGTTTTATGTTGAATGTGTTTCAGCTGCCATTGTAGTGTAAGTGAACGCGCAAGAGTACACCATCACGCACTCTTTAATTAGCTCTATATATCAGCAAAAGAAAAATAGTATGTGGTGAATAAAAATGGTAAAAAGAGATCACGGTTCAGCCATGCATTTGCAAACTTTTATTAAGTTAAATCAGCATATGGTGGGGTTGTAAAGCAGTCACATTCTGGCCTCGTTGGTCATAACATTGACCACAGCACAGATCCCAGTCCTTTTTTAAGCTGCGGATATTAAGGTTTAGCTATTCGCCACTGTTATTGGTCATGAGCGGGAATCGAACTCGGGTCGTCAGGTTAGTAGCGCAGTGCGCTAATCACGAGATGACCGCTCCCCATATTATTATTATTATTATTTTCAGGCGCACACACTGATTTATACATGAAAACGTAACCGCTCGTGTCGTGTGCTCCGTGGTGAGCACAATTTCAAGCATACAATGCATTGCCCTTCGCACTCCACAATGTACGCTTCATTTCACCTGAAACAAGCCGACGTGACATCGGATTGCCTCGTTGCGTTGAAAGCCGACCTGAAATTTGGTTGCGACAAAAATACAAAAAACTCGACGGGGTCTTCACCAACGCCATGCGGCCTTCAAAGGATACACGTGCACAAGGGGGGGTTGGTGGGGGGGGGGCGCTGTGGGCGATGGCCTTTCGTCAGTGGTAGAGAATGTACGCATTCGAGTGGTGGTGAGCAGTCTGTAGGACAGCTGCCATCCTACTAAGTGGTACAATTCTTTAGCTACCCTATGAGGTTGATGGGCTGGGCAGGGCAATGGTATAGTAGCGGGAGAATCAAGTGCTCTAACACGCCATGGTTAGAGCCTCCAGTGGATCCCAGTTCTCTTATTCAATACTGTCCTGCTTTGGTATGTTTTGCCGATTCCTGTTGCTTAAGTTTTGTATGTACTGAATGTCTGTTGGACTTCTTACGCACCCTACGTTGCCAACCGTGCTAATTGTAGGTGCGGGGGAAGGATGGTATTAGCTGGTTGATGGGGTGATTGTATGAGATAGTTGATGATGGTTAATGATGGCGTGATGTTCCGAGCTGGTTGATGTATGTATGTTGAACTTCTTTCGCACTGTACGTAGCCAACCGTGCTAATCGGAGGTGCGGGGGAAGGACGACAAACTCGAGAAGCCAACAATCGTACTTAATGTCAGACTCCTACTTGCTGTGCTGTATCCTGCATGTACTGTGTTGCCTTGCAATGGCCTTTCTTCTACATAGCGCGTGAAAATGAGTTGGTACGAGTGTTTTACACGCCGTTATTTCATAATATTAAGGACGGCGACTGCAAGCGTTGAGTCAAACTGGAAATCTGTCTCGTGAATATAAATACTCGTCGGCAGTCCAAATAAAATCACCGCAATATTTGTTTTCACACGCGCACACACACACACACTCCCGGCAAAAAAATTCTTCATTTCATCGTCAAAAGTGGGGACACACATTGCAGACGCTCTCTAGATTCCTGAGCGAGTTTCTCTCAACACTGACCATCTGTTCAGTGTCGGCGGCACGATTCAGCGAGCTTGGTTCTGTCGTTTGAAAGTACGCAGTCAACGCAGAACCCCGCCGACATAATCCGGAACAACAAGCATTTTCGAAGGAATTTTTCTCACATTGAGGAGAAGAAGAAGAAACAAACAACAACGTGGCGAGAGTTGTGGGCCGTCACCCAAGCGTATTTTTGCGCTCAGGGGATTTTGGAGAAACAGCAACAGCGGCGTCGCGCTAAGTGCCCCAAACTGCCAGACGTCGATGCATCGCAACGCTGGAACAAGCATTTAGGTCGCGCTCGTCTCGATGAGCGGTCGAAAATCAGTGGTGATAAACAATATATGCATTTGAGTGGTGGTGAGCAGTCTGTAGGACAGCTGCTATTGATTTCCTACTAAGTGGTACAATTTTAGCGATCTTGTCGGGATGATGGGCTGAGCAGTGAAGTGGTATAGTGGTAGCAGTAGAATCAAGTGTTATAACATGCCAGTTATGTTATTTAGTGCGGCCCTGCTTTGGTATGCTTTGACGATTCCTGCTGCTTCAGTTTTGTACGTATGTCTGCTGGACTTCCTTTGCACCGTACATCGTCAACCGTGCTAATCGGAGGTGCGGGTGGAAGGCAACAAGCTCGAGGAGCCCACAATCATTCTTCCTGTCAGACACCTACTTGCTGTACTGCCTCCTGCATGCACTGTGTTGCCTTGCGAGATGGGTGCCCTAATAAGGCTATATTTCCGCATAATTCACCCGATCTGGATTATAAGACATGCACCCAAAACACTCGTAACTGGGCTCAATAGAGGGAACATCGGTATTAGCTGACTTATAACTGTTAAACGCACAGTGCTCTGAGACAACTTTTGGAATCACTCATGGGAATGGCTCATTTGCGAGCGAAATGCACTTTTCTTGCATTTTTAAAAATCTGTGTTATTACAGCGCTTCCTTAAGTACATATTCATCATCGCAGCGTATAAATATTAATGGTGAAACATTAACCATCCCAGATTTGCTGACGTCGTAGTCATTATAACGTCCAATGGGAATGAACTGCAGGAAATGATATGTACATATTTAACAAACACTTTAAAGTAATTTGTTAATCCACTACTGACCGAAGCCCTTACCTACACCACACTGGACAAGGGATTTGGCGTATGTACCTCGCTACGCCGGTCAGTGCAGGTAGGTCAAGCGAGAGGGTGCCCAGGACCAGCTCAGACTTCACCCACAACTGATGTTAGCCGTCGCTGGGGAATTGAACGCAGGTTGCCGGGTTCCTGGCGCAGTGCACTAACCACGATGCGACTGCTCCCACCCCTCTGCATACACACAGAGTAGAGTGTTGCTCCTCTCTTACACTACCTCTCTGCCCCTCCACGGACAGAAGAGCCACGTGTCACATTGTAGAATGATCCGAATGTGACGACGCACCTGTGAAGGTCTCTGAGTGTACTAGCGACTCAACAATTTTTGTTATTGTACTTATTATAAGTATCATGATTGTTTACCGCTCATGACACATTTTCAGAAGGGTTCCTGCCACGTCTTTAGCAGTAGGGGGCGTTAACTGCTACACGTAGAGAGTATTTCCATTGAATAATTTGCGGGTAAATACTAAAACTTGGAATATTTGGACCAAATTTGGCAAATAGTGCTTGTAGCACATTTAACAAAAAAATCCACCATGGCATTGCGTGAATTCCGCCAGTTAGCATCTTGTCTTGATGAATTGTGCGACGCACATTTCTTGTTGAAGTGTTTTCGCGTAAACCGCTTTGTCATCCGAGACCCCGGGATTTAAATCCCCAGCAGGCAGGAGACATTGTGTTACTGAATCGAGCATTTTTTCCCCTTCCATTTTTCCCTTCCATTGCTCTCTCTCTTGCTGTCGGAAAAATGTCCACGTAGACCAAAAAGCACTTCCCAGAATCTTGATGAATGCGCTGCTCTCTTACGCAGGAAGGTGGCAGGGCCTTCCTTCGGGATTCGTTGGAAAATGGAAAAATAAACAAGTCTGCTCTCTCATACGTGATGCACATGGTTATATATTTAACTTTATAACCTATTATTATGACGAGCCATGTAGGAATACACATGTAGAGTGCATGTGGGGCAGTCAAAAGTTTTGAGAATTTGATCAATTAGTTCATAGATTATATTTTCGTTGCTGCAGTCGAAAAAAAGTCAAAGTCTCCAAACTCAAACGAGCATTGGGTAGAGCTTATCTCCTC